TTTTTTTCTTTCTTTTCTTTTTTGATCTTCACTGATTTCTGTCTACTATCAACAAGCTGAAATTCACCATGAAAGACAAGGAGGAAGAAACTTGCTCAAAGCCCATATGGCTCCTGACAGTGACTCTTGGCTAAGAAACACAGGGCGCATTTTCGATGAGCTCTGTCCCCAGCATGAGCACCTGCCCCAGACTTTGTGTCCCTGTCCCATGAGAGTCCAGAGCGTACCAAGAGGGGAACTGGGCTCAAGGGACATTCAGTTGCCCTCTAGGCTTTCTCTGTTGTGCCCCAAGGCCAGTCTGAGCCCAAGCCCAGACATGCAGCCACCTAGAAGTCTGACATCAGAGCTTTGGTTCCACCCTGTTTGGAGTTCCAGTTGCCAGGCAGATCGTAGAGGTACCCCTTGATGGAGTCTGCATCATCTGACATGAAAGCGTTCCCTGCCCATCCCCTTCACAGCGCTGGATCTTCTATCTCCTTCTCCAGCAGGCAATCCCATCATCAAAGGCTTGGGGACCCTATTGCTTCTTCCACAGCAAAATCTCCCCTCACCTTTCCTCTCTCTCCACTGCTCTGCCTTCCAGATCCAGGAAAATGCCATAGGAATTTCCCAGTTTCCCAGTGTGAAATGAAAATCCATGAGCCCCCTAAATTCAAATCTTTTTTTTTTACTTTTTTTAAATTTTATTTACTTATTTTTCTATTATCAGCTTTATACAGTACAAATTCTTATCCTAATAGTGAAATGTTTCACTGAGGCTTGCCCAGTGATTGAGTAAAACCAAAACTTATTATAAGCCACAGTCATCCTAGGTTCCCCCCTGCTAGGTAGCCTCCCTGGATCTGTGGGTTGCAGTCTAATTGTTCTTTGCTTTATATCTAGTATCCACTTATGATACCATGTTTGTCCTTCTGGGTTTGGGTTACCTCACTCAGGATGATATCTTCTAGTTCCATCCATTTGCCTGCAAATTTCATGCTGTTGTTGTTTTTCTCTGCTGAGTAGTACTCCACTGTGTATATGTACCACATTTTCTTAATCCATTCTTCAGTTGACGGGCATCTAGGTTGTTTCCAGGTTCTGGCTATTACGAATAGTGCTGCTATGAACATAGTTGAGCATGTATCTTTGTGATATGATTGAGCATTCCTTGGGTATATGCCCAAGAGTGGTATGGCTGGGTCTTGAGGTAGATCAATTCCAAATCTTCCGAGAAACCACCATACTGATTTCCACAGTGGTTGTACAAGCTTGCATTCCCACCAACAGTGGAGGAGTGTTCCCTCTGCTCCGCATCCTCTCCAACATAGATTGTCATTGGTGTTTTTGATCATAGCCATTCTGACAGGTGTAAGGTGGTATCTCAGAGTCGTTTTGATTTGCATCAAATCTTTTTAGTAATTTCAAGACAGAGACAGGAGACGATGAACCCAGGGTCACTCACAAAGCCAGCCCTAGCCACAGGCTCTCATCTTACATTCTACCAAGTTGCCTCCTGTGTTGGGTTGTCCCCTCTAGGCTTGAGGTTCGTATGGACATAGGATTATCATCTGTTTGTTTGTTTATCGCTGTGTGACACTAAGCGTTGCACAATAAGCTGGGGCTCCATGTTTAAGGGAATACATTGCATTGCCAGATAATGGCTTGCAAATACAAAGAAAAACCACCAGGTGGCACTGTTCCCCTCACAAACAAAGTGTGCTGTTGAAAAAAAAATGATTGGATCCTTCAAGATAACCTTTTTCATGTCTTTGGGGTTCTCTGGAGGTTTACACGCTCAGTTCTACATATCTCCAAGAAATTTACAAAGTCTCTAAAGGCCACTTGTGAGTCTACTTACTTCACTAGACTCAGCTTAAATTAGTTGTAAAAATTAGCTGTCCTTAGTAGACCTGGTGGCAAACACTTTAGTCCCAACACTCCTGAGGCAGAGGCAGATAATCTCTGTGAGCTCGAGGTCAGGCTGGGCTACATAGTGAATCTTAGGACAGTCAGGGATACATAGAACAACTCTGTCTCAATATATATAACTTTCCAGACAACACCATAGATCAATTAGATTGAGAGCTCTGTGCCCAGGGGATTAGACATAAAAGCAAAATGCAGCTGGGTGGTGGTGGCGGTGGCACATGCCTTTAATCCCTGCACTTGGGAGGCAGAGGCAGGTGGATCTCTGTGAGTTCAAGGCCAGCCTGGGCTACAGAGTGAGTTCTAGGATAGGCTCCAAAACTACACAGAGAAACCCTGTCTCGAAAAACAAAACAAAAAGCAAAATGTAGATGTTTCCTTACATGCTAAATTAGTTCATAAATCATGTGTGCGAACGAGCCCTGGCTGCAGTGTTGAGACGTCTGATGGAAAGGAGGCTCAGGTTTGCTTTTCCATGCTGGGGTAGCTGCCCCTGACAGAAGCAGTCTTGGCTCAGGGACAGACCTGAGTGCTTCAGGTGGGAGCTCTGGCACCTGACGAGGTTGAGAGAGGCCAGTCCTCGGAGTCAACATCTGTATTGTTAACAGACCTCCTGTGTGACTCTAACAAAAAGTTAGAAGTTGGCAATGACTACCTGAGTACATATTCTCCCCTCTTTGTAGAAGGGTAAACTGAGGCCACAAGACAGGAGGCTAAGCTCGCAGCAGGTCGATGACACAGCCTGTCCTTGATTTGAGTCCTACACTCCTAAGACACAGTCAGGGGCTCCGAGGTTCTCCTAGCTACCCTACCACACCAGGCCACAGGAGGACCCTGCATGTTGCAGATAAGACAGAGTGGGAGGATGCGGACCAAAAGGGAGGAGAGGATGGACGTCTGTTCCCCAAATCCCAGTTTCCCATCTCTGACAAGGTCTGAAGTCCCACCACTGATAAAATAGTCTCCCCATTTAAAGACAAACCCTGGGCTGCTTCTCTGGCTTTTGTTTCTGTTAAATTGGGTTCCCTGCAAAGAGACATTAGTTAAAACAACAGCATGGTGCAATTCTCAGACATTTCCCTCCCTGGGGAGGATGTGGATGGCTGAGATCATAGACCATGAAGATGTCAAGGAAGAAAAGAATGGGAAGTGAAACCAGCATGATGTCTACAGGTTCTCTCTCTCTCTCTCTCTCTCTCTCTCTCTCTCTCTCTCTCTCTCTCTCTCTCTCTCTCTCTCTTCCAGACCCCACCTCAAGGACAAAGTAAGGGTAGTGGTAGTATGGTAATACTTTCAGTGGGCCAAGGGTGAAGGGCAGACACCTGTTGCATCTGGCTGCTTGCTGTAGGGTTTGGGGTAGGGGTGCAAGCAAAGTTCAAAGTTCAGGGGAAGGCAGAGCCTTGTGACCAAGTTCTTCATGAATGAACCCTAGCTAAAGAGTATTTTAGCAGGGTGCTGGGGACAGGGCTCAGCTGGCAGAGTGCTTGCCTAGCCTGCACAAAGGTGCATAAAGCAGGCATGGTGGCACGTGCTGTAACCATGAGGTGCCATCGGAATCAGGGGTAGTGGATATTCAAGGTGGCCAGACCGTGGTGGCATGCACCTTTAATCCCAGCAC